AATTTAATTTTCAAAATATACACATTTCTCTTAAAGTAGCTGCCTCTCAGTCCTTCCCTTTACACCTAGAAAATAAATTTCTAGAAGGGTGAGGATGAATCCAGAAGAGAGACTGATGTGCATCCCCGTGGTGTTAAGTAGTATCTCATTGTGGTTTTGTTCTGCATTTCCCATTTGGCTAATGATGTGGAACATTTCATGTGCTTATTAGCCATTTGTATATCTTCTTTGCAGAAAGACCAATACAGAGCCTTTGCTCATTATTAAATTGGGTTGCCTTTTTATTTCAGAGTTAGAGTTCTTTATAAATTCCAGATACAAGACCCTCATTAAATATGTAATTTGCAAAATTTTTCTCCCATTCTATGGGTTACCTTTTAACTTTCTTTTTTTAAAAATAATTTATTGATTCTCCCCACCCCCCTAGCCAGTGTTGATCAGTGGTTAGAATGTTGACCTGCAGACCGAAGGGTCATGGGTTCCATCCCAGGTCAAGGGTGCATGCCTGGGTTGCAGATTTGATCCATTCCCAGTCCTGGTTGGGGCACATGTGGGAAGCAACCAGTTAATGTGTCTTTCACATTGATCTCTCTCTCTCCTCCTCGTCTTTTCCTCTTCCATCCCCCTCCCTCCCTTCCATTCTCAAAAAATCAATGGAAAAAATATCCTCGGGTGAGGATTAACCAAAAAATTTTTTAATAAAAATAAAATAGTTTATTGGTTTTTAGAGAGAGAGAAAGGGAGAGGGAGAGAGAGAGAAACATCGATGTGAGAGCACAAGAATCACCTGCCTCCTGCACAACCCCTGAGACTGCGGCATGTGCCCTTGACTGGGAACCTCCTGGTGCACAGGAAACGCCCAAGCAACTGCACCACACTCTTAATTTTCTTGACAGTATCCTTCACAGAAGTTTTAAATTTTTTTCAATTTACCTGTTTCTTCTTTGGTTGCCTGTACTTTTAGGTGTCATATTGAAAAAAGCTGCCAATCCAAGTTCATGAAGACTTATTGCTATCTTTTAAAAAAAAGAGTTTTATAGCTAGCTTTTATGATCTATTTAGAGTTAATTTTTGTATATGGTGTGAGGAGGGGGTTCATCTTCATTCCTTTGTATTGGATATCTAATTGTCCCACCATTCGACATTTGTGAAAAGTCTATTCTTTCCCCTATATCAAGGGTCGGATTTAACCTTCACCTCCTAAAGGTTTTTGGAATTCTTCATAAGGATTTGTGTCTTCTCCCCCATTTATGTCAGTGTGGGCTTATGGATATCTATTTTATTCTTTGGGTTATATCCTGAGGACTTACTCTGAAGTCCTGCATGCAGTTTCCTCTGTAACTGGCATTTTTCACTTTAAGCCACAGATGCTCAGGGTGGACCAGCCAGGCCTGGGTTCAAATTTTGGCTCCTGGTAGCTCTGCTGTCCGGAGCCACTTACTGAAGTCCTGGAGTCTCAGTCTTCCCAGGGCAGGGGGGATGATGATGACATTTAGAAGGAAGATTGTTCTGAAAATATGGGCTGATGTCATAGGATTTTTGTTCCTGGCTCAGATCTCAGCTTGAGGACCAACCACATGGCTCTGGGCAGGTCACTTTAATGTTGGACATGAACAGGAGTGCTGGAGGGGCAGGGTGTGTGTTCTCTCTCTCTCTCTCTCTCTCTCTCTCGTTTAATTTTATTCATTTTAAATTCTAGTTATTTATATTAATCTTTATTTTCTTATATGACATTATGTGGCATAGGAATGGAGACCTTTTTTTCTAAAGTAGTAGACTAAAAGGAAAATTACCATCTTGGTAAATGTATCTTATGTTTTTTAATGTTAAATATTTTCCCTTGTAAAATTAGTTCATGCAGGTTACAATTTGGGGGAAATTATTAAAAAATAGAAAATGAGCAAAAATGAAATCCCTCATTCCCACCACTGCTAACATTTTAATGAATGCTTCTTAGTTAGCTTTAGTGCATTTTAACATAATTCTTTGAAAACAGACTAGAAAGCACCTGCTTCTTAAGTTAAGAATGGGTCAAATAAAATTAGTAAGTACATGAGAAATATAACTGGAATGGAGAATAAATAAAAGGAAAGACAAGTGGATTGAGAGAGAAAGACACAGGACAGGGATCAAAGTTCTTAGTCTTTTTTTTTTTTTTTTAAATGCACAGTTGTGTAGCCTAGAAAAGATCATCTTTGCTAAATGTGTTTACTGGACTTTCTAACAATGCTTTTTTGTAAACCAAATATAAACACTTTATTTTTATTTATTTATTTGTAGTTAGATACCTTTTTTTAAAGTATATTTTATTGATTTTAGAGAGGAAGGGAGAGAGAGATAGAAACATCAATGATGAGAAAGAATCATTGATTGGCTGCCTCCTGCACGCCCCCTACTGGGGATCAAGGCCACAACCCAGGCATGTGCCCTTGTCCAGAATCGAACCTGGGACCCTTCAGTTTGCAGGCCAACGCTCTATCCATTGAACCAAACCAGGTAGGGCACAAATAGAAACACTTTAAAACCTTTTATATCTTTTTTTACCCCTTATGTCCTCTTTTTTTCATCTTGGAAAAATGGCTCATTTTAAGGAGCAACATCACTATCTTGTGGCCTTCTAGAATACTGTTGCTTAAAGTTTAAATTGAATTTTCTACACTTACAGGGTAAGTTAAATTGTGTTCTGGCACTCTCTAGGGGTCTTTCCATCTGGTCTCTAGACTGGTGGTTTCTACCCTAATAAATGGAAAGAAAGCAGGAAATACGATTATTCGAAAGCTTTGCTTGTAGCTCTGAAAAAAGATGTATGTAGAAAACAATGCAGAAATGAAAGCAGTTTGTGATAGGAGGTGGGATGATGCAGATTTGCTATTACTGTTTAATGAATTCAATATTACTTTTTCAATTAAATATTTCAAAATTTCAAAATAACCTCAATATAACCTATCTCATTGCTTTCCTTTGGTTAGAAAACTAAATCCGGATAAATTAAGAGCGGTGTCTGCCGAGTAGAGGAGCTGTTTATTGTGCAGGAATGTTTTCAAATGGGTAGATCTTGGATGAAGGTGGTTTCTACAAGCATTTTTCATATTTTTAAAATTTGGATGATGACCTAAAATTTGGATGATGAAAAAAAAATCCATATAAGCGTAGTCTGGCTCCCCTGGGCGACAGGCAGAGCTTTTGGACTGTGGAGGCATTTGTGTGAAGATCCAGCTGGTTTGAGGGCTCCTAACTGAGTAAATAGCCCCTCGTGCAGTGGTTCTCAACCTTCTGGCCCTTTAAATACAGTTCCTCATGTTGTGACCCAACCATACAATTATTTTCGTTGCTACGTCATAACTGTAATGTTGCTACTGTTATGAATCGTAATGTAAATATCTGATATGCAGGATGGTCTTAGGCGACCCCTGTGAAAGGGTCGTTCAACCGCCAAAGGGGTCGCGACCCACAGGTTGAGAACCGCTGTCCTAGTGTCATGTGCAGGCCCTGCGCACTCCTGCCTTCCGGGACATGCTCTCGGTTTGAACGTGCATGGAAGTTTGGGATCGAGATATAGAGACACCACACGCTATGATTTATTAGGCACTTGCCGTGTTCTGTGCTGCTGTGGACTGAATTGTGCCTGCCCCCAGACCCGTGTGTTGAAGCTCTAACCCTCAGGACCTCACAATGTGGCTGTGTTAGGGAAAGGGCCTTTAGGGTATAGACACACAGGGAAGACCATGTGAGGACACAGGAAAAAGGAAACAGTGAGAACGGAGGGTGCAAGTAGGCATGTGTGGGCTTTGCTGCGCCTGGTCCTGGGCAGGGCAGGCAAGAGTCTCCCCAGGCTGCAGCATTAGTTCTGGGCTAACACGGTAAACTGGGAAGAGCTGCCATCCGCTCACCACCTACTTGCCCCCCAAACAAAAATGGCCACCCCATGCTTATGCCCAGGGCCATGGTCTTCAGACCAGCCTGGTCCCCGTAATCTGTCCTTTATGCTTCTCCAGGCCAGAAGCCAGGGAGCCCTCAGTGACCACAGATCCTCTGGACAGCTTCACAGCCCTGTCCCCGCCCAGCCGAGGCAGTGGAGCACCAGCTCAAGCACAAGGTCAGATCGCTGCCCTCGTGGACTATGAAAGCACCCCTGGCACCTCCTGAGCTCTGGGTGGCCCCAGGCCTCCCGCCTGGTGAGGGCCAGATCTAGTTGTGAGTCCACAGAGTCACGCCTCTCAGGGCCAGGAACTCTGTGGTCTGCAGAGTGTCAGGGTGAGAGGGCGCTGGGGATTCTGGGAAGGTCAGTGACCTGAGCTCATGTCTCCAGTGCTTGTCTCTGATGCTTGGTGCCCAGGAACGCCAGTGACTGTTATCCTGGACAAGGCATGCCAGGCGCCGTGTGGGGTGGGCTCCAGCTCGGCCTCAGCTGGCCTCCCAGCTCTGTAACCTGGATCAGTGAGAATGACGGACTTTCATAACACGGGGCTGGAAGGTTAAATGGAAAAAGCCATGAAACATTTCGCTTCAGGCCCAGCACCCAAGCACCTGGATTTGTAGTAACTCAGTTATCTGTATCTTAATCCCCAGCAGCCTCCCCACCGCCCCCAAGGGCAGGACTTAATTGTAAAAGCACATTTACACGTGGGGAAGTGAGGTTTGGATGGAGGAGGTGACATGCTCACTGCTGCGAAGAGAGGAGCTGGCCAAGCAGACGCACCGGCCCAGGCTTCTCCAGCTCTGTTCAGGTCCTTGCCCATCTTGGTGCCCCATCTGCCCAAACTGCGCCCCAGATCCATTCTCCTTAAGCCCAGGCAATAAAATATATTTTTTTAAAAGTCTGCTTCTTGCCATGAAAAAAAAAAAAGTAAACTGTTAAGTAAAAGCAGTCTATCACTACCCCACTCACCCCCACCCCCAACACACACGCAATTATACTCCTCTTCAAATGACTCAGAATTATGGAATTTCTGACTTCACTTCCCACCACACCCTGGCACTAAACTTCCGGCTGTTTCTCAGTCTGGCCAGCTAGAGCAGGAGGAAGCAAGGTCGGTCTCTTTCTCAAGGTAAGAGCAGGGCGGGGCCACCAGGGTAGGAGAGCTGCCTCACCAAAATGTGGGAGTCCAGCCGAAACCAGTTTGGCTCAGTGGATAGAGCGTCGGCCTGCGGACTGAAGGGTCCCAGGTTCGATTCCGATCAAGGGCATGTACCTGGGTTGCAGGCACATCCCCAGTGGGGGTTGTGCAGGAGGCAGCTGATTGATGTTTCTAACTCTCTATCTCTCTCCCTTCCTCTCTGCAAAAAATCAATAAAATATATTTTTTAAAAAAAATGTGGGAGTCCAGCAGAGGGTTCGTTACCCGGAACAGGACGGCAGGCTCAGCCTCAGGGAATGGGGTCCTCAGCCAAGGGAGGCCTAGATACAGCAGGGACATGATTTGCAGGCAGGAATCAGATCTGCCTTCTAGAAGGGCAACTAAGGACAAAGGGTGAGAGCTGTTATGCCCAGAGTTCGGGGTCCCCAAGAATCAACCACCAGGGAGCCTCTTCCGATGCAATAAACAAAGAGTCTTTATTCAAACCCGGGTTTGGCTCCCAGCCGCTTTTGACACAGCGGCGAGACCAGAGAGAGAGAGAGAGAGAGAGAGAGAGAGAGAGAGAGAGAGAACACGAACGAGAGATCCCCAGGAGAACAAAGGTTATATAGGGCTAGTCATTTGGGTGGGCTTAGGTAAGTGACGTGGGTTACAGAGACTGGTCACTTTGGTCAGGGTCTTTCAGCACAAGGGTCAGGAAGTGACCAGCACATTCTGAGGCTTGAGCTGTCCCCCACTATAGCCTTATTAGGACCTTAGCTGCATTCCTGGAGCTTCATTGGTCCATTCAGGTGGTGGTTGGGGGAGTTAGGACAGTACTGGCATTCTTGTGGTCACTCTCAGAAAAGGGAGGGGGCTTAGGCTGAGGGCCCAGCCCTACAAGACAAGATGGAGGAGAGTTCTTTGTCCTTTCAAGAGCCAGGTTAGCCGACACCCTGGCCTTGGAATGTGTGGGGGAGCTGGGCTGGGGGTGTCAGTGGGTCAAGGACCCCAGCTGTTCCTTTCTCTGTACCCAGTGGGGCCACCGCTCACCCCACTACCACCTGTCAGGTGACCACCCCCTCAGGTCCTCCCCAGATGTGTCCCATGGCAGGTTCTTATCCATGGGTCCTGCTGGGAGCAGTGAGCTGGGGGAGGAGGGGTGTCAGGAATTCTGAGCAGCCAAAGGAAATAGCCTGGTGGACAGGGAAGGGGGAGGGGCTGCTGGTGAGTACCCCCATATGACCCGGGGAGCAGAGGAAAGGGGCCCAGGGCCCCAGGAGCCAAGCCTGGGTTTTCTAGGAACGGGGAGGGGGGGGACACAGCTGGAGGGGCTGAAGAGGATGGGCAGGAGGTGGGGCACAACCTGGGCTGGTGGCCACAGGAGCTCCCTCAAAAAACAGTTTTCCACGGTGGGTGAGGAGACAGTGTGGGAAAGGCTCACTGTCTGAATTCAAATAACGGACTCAGAGACAGAGTCTGGCGAAAATGAGACTTAAAACTTTCTTCAGAGCGGGTGTCCGTTGGTGCAGGCTCACCTGAATTAGCTGGCACAGGCAGTATTTATCCTCTTGTGTGAAAGTCCCTCCTCCAGTTCTTTGGCTGAGTATATGGAGTTTACATTCTATCCCATAGGTCGCCTATGTATTAATGTCTCCTATTGGTTTTTCTTTTCTTTTCTTTTCTTTTTAATTGGCTGAGGCCTTTTCTAGTTGTTTCCACCTCCTTTTGTCTACAGAATCTTCCTGGAAAATGTGCTACCAGCCAGGTGCACAGCTCTCATAATCTCTCCCCACATCCCCTCCCATATCCATCTTGCTCTGGGGAAATTCAGTAACTGACTGGCTGCATGCTGTTCCTTTTCTATGAAGATGAAAAGATGCATCTCCTACAATGGGAGGCAATGGGGAGAGGGTAGGTGAGCTCTCCCCCAGGCCTGCAGAAGAGACTCCTGAGCCTGAAGCAAAGCCAGGCCCTGGGACTCCACAGACAACCCCCCACCCCTTCACCCCCAGAGAATGGGCCTGGCTCCAGGGCCATTAACCCTCAGATCTCTTGTTTTCCAGGTGATCCCCTCTAGGCAGGATCCCTGTGAGGTTGAAACCTGGCTTCCCCCTTAGAGGAGCAGATCCAGAGGCCCTAGGGGGATTGGAGTGTGTGGGAAGGTGACTTTGGTGTTCTCCCCACAGGTGTGAGCTCTGATTCCTTGAGAAGATGATGGAAGGAAAAGATGCCTCATTCGCCCTCTCTCTGGTGAGATTCAGCCAGGCCTGGCCATGCCCAGCCACCAGTTACTGGGACAAAAACAGGACTCCGGTCATTTCCCCCATTGACAGGGTGCACCCAGGACAACTAAGGGCCTATAAGGGGGCCCACTGCTTCCCCCTGGGCTAAGACCCCAGGACCATGGGATGGGGCATCTCAAGCGACAGACCAGCAGTTCTCAGAGGACTCAGGTGTTAGAGGCAGAAACAGAATATTGGGGACCAACTAAAATTGTAAGAAATATTAATCATGCCCTGTTAACTGTGATTGCTTTGTTCTGATGAAAGAAAACACATTCTAATATGGCTGGGAGCTCACCTGGAAATGCAGCTCATCATCCCACCAGGGAGCTGCCTATTATCATGGAAAGACTAACCACCTAGTTATAGAAACCAGAGCCTGGAACCCTTCCCATATTAACAGCCCTTTGAAGACCCCCAGCCTTTGCAGATGCTCAGGCCTTTGCAAATCTCCAGCCTGTATTACCTGTAAACTGCCCATTTGGCATACCCTTGCCTACTTCCCCATGTAATCTTTGTCCTTTTACCCAATAAAAGTAGCTGGCTTATGGTGGGGTGCAGAACAGATTTCTGTGGATGACCTGCCTCTTTCTTCCTCCATATAGGGTCGTGTAACTCTGAATTGGCAGGCAAAGGGGCCTGTTGCCTTTGTGCTAGCTGTAGGCACAATACTAGTATTCATTATAGGACTCCTGTTATGCTGAAATAAGGTCAGAGCAAACCTGGGATTAGCATCTGGGGAGGTCTGGGGCTGGCTGGGGTGGGGATGGGGGTGTGGGCTGCACATGAGTAAGAGGGAGGGCTGGGGATGGTTTGAGGGAGGCACAGTAGAGATCCGAGAAGGTAGTGGGGTCCTCCATTGGCCTGGAGGTCTGGCAGCCCCTCCAAACTGACTGTCCATACTCTCCTCCCATTGTCAGCTCCGGGCCCTGTCTGACACGCCCACCTTCTCTTTCAGGCCAGCGAAAACAAGGCCCAGAAAATGCATGGACAGGAATTCTTTCCAATCCCCTCGCCTTAAGGAGAAGGCTCCACCTTCTTGGGGAATGTGTGAAGCAACATGCTATACACAGTTTAATTTTGATTATGAACAAAGTCAACTTTTGAGCAAAATAAAAATTAATTAAATACACACTTATTGAGTGCATACTGTGTGCCTGACTCTTCCAGAACCAGACTATTTATCTCAGGATTCTGGGTCCTTTGATACCCAATGCCACTACCTCCAGCACTGATGTTAGTGGGAAGTGCATGTAATAGGAATACAGCCACAGTTGTCTGATGAGTGATAGATGAAAAGTTTTCTTACAGACCCTGGAAACGGGAGGATGAAACAGGCCTGTCAAAGACCAAACACCTCGGAGCCTAGATGGGCCCATAACTCAAAGAAAAGGAAAACATTTTGAGAACAGACACATGACACGTTTTGATTTGGTTGCTGCACAATGAACCCTGACCCTGACCCCTTCCGGGAGTTTTCCTCAGGAGTGCTGGGCACTCTCCGATCCCAGTGAAGGGGAAAATAAGACATTTGGGGGGTGGAGGGAAGGGGGTAGCTATCTGAATCTGTGCCAGTAACCTGCATTCTGATGCACACTCTTGCTTGCTGATAAACTCCATTCTTATCTGTCCTGCCTTGCAGAACCTTATGGCGGGGTCTCTCTTTTCCACGTCCAGCACGGAAAGAGAGTGGTCCGGTTCTTTGAGTAGGGGGGCTGGGGATTGAGAAATGAAATAAAGAGACAAGACACAAAGATGGAAGGAAAGGGCTGGGACCAGGTGGGACCGCCGTCCTCTTCTGAGGGAGAGACAGGGACCCAGCACCAAAGCAGCGTGTTTATTTTATACCCCAAATACCAGGAGGTTTCACCAAAACTCAAGATAAAGAAAGGAGCTTGGGAGGGCCCAAGTCGAGTAGTATTCATTCCCGGTGCTAGACTGGATTTACATATCAAAACCCACTCCCCAGCACCTGGACAAAGATGAGAGTCAAGCTGAGAACACTTCTGCCCCTTTTGGTAAGATGTGTATCCAAGATGTGTCTCTGCCTGTCGCCTTGGGTTCAGCTGACAATTATTAAGGAAAAATGCCCATGTGCCTTCCCAGGGGCCCTCTACAGAACCTGTGACCCGGAATACTCCAATTTTACAGAGACCATAAGCCATGAACCATATACAACCCCCTAAGGGGGTTGGCAAGCGCTGGTGCCAGACAGGCCTCTGAGTGTAATCTCACTTCCCCCATCCCAACTCACAGGGGGCCGCAAAGCCTGTGAAAAGTCTGGAAGCCTGACCCATATTTGGGGGACAAAGGAACTAAGGGTGTAAAGGGAAAGCTTCATCCATATTCATCGCTCAGGATTTGGAGACTGACTCCCCTGGGTCACGGCACTAGTGCATCTGCAAATAAAGGCTACTTTTCTGAATATCCTCTTGAGCGCCCGGCTGATTAATTCTCCCGTGTTGCCTGGCAGCTTATCTGCAACATTAATTTGGTGCGTTGGCCGAGAAAATACCAGTCGTGCTGCCTACGTAGGGCACCACTGGTAAAGGTCCACGGCTGGTCCATTCGCCCGGGCCCCCCTGAAAACGGGAAAGGCACACCTGCAGTGATTTACTGGGTTCCAGTCCTCATCGGGCCTGGAAGACCGGGACCCCCACTCGCGCCCCCGTGGACTCCAAGGAAGACAGAAAAGCCCTTTCTGGAACCAGTCTGAGTTCAGGCCTATCTTTCGGGACAGAAGAAGTGGCTGATCACCAGTTAGGCAAAATATTTGCCTCAGTTCAGGGACTTTCTGTGGGCGAAAGTCAAAGCTCACACTGGTGTGTGAATGTGAATGTAAAAGTCTATGTGAAGTGAAAGTTACCTTGTGTTTGTCCTGTGTCTCTGTTAACTGGGAGGGATTACACAGTTTAACTGCAAATATAGGAAGTAGTTCCTCCAAACCCACTGTTTTAGAATGTATGTTAAAGAATTTTAAGAAAGGTTTCACTGGGGGTTGTGGGGTAAAGTTAGTTCCCTGGACGTTAAGAAAGATGTGTGAAATAGACTGGCCATCTTTTGGGGAAGGATGGCCAGCGGAGGGCACATTGGATGTCCCCACAATCAGGAATGTTTACAGAGTTACAACGGGAGACCCAGGTCATCCCGACCAGTTTCCCTACATTGATCAGTGGCTGAAAATAGTTCAGCTCAAGCCACCTTGGATCCGGCTCTGTGTGTGTAAGAAGGGGCAGAGTAAGGTTTTAGCGGCAGAAAAAAAGAGACAGGCAGGAGAAGAGAAACAGGCCCCTCAGAAGGAGAATAAGCCTCCTGTTCTGCAGGAACCCCTGAGGAAGCCCCGCCAGTTTTACCACCTCCATATGTGGCACCCAGTGCTCCTTTGCCCACTCAGGGAAGCTTAGATACACCACCTCCTTCTGACTCTCCAGAGCCAATTGGATGGCACTTGCGCTCAGCTGATCAGAGACCCAAGCCACCCCCAGCTTTTCAGATGCCTCTCCAGGAGACTCGGGGTCCCCACGTGCTTGGAGAAGATGGGACCTACAAGAGGGGGGATTGGTCTTTTACTACCAGCCTTTTACCACGACCCATCTCCTGAATTGGAAACAGCACACTCCTGCCTATTCTGAAAACCCTCAGGCCATGGTAGACCTCCTAGAGTCAATTTTCCAGACCCATAAGCCCACCTAGGTTGACTGCAAGCAACTCCTTCTCAGGCTTTTTAACACGGAGGAGCGCTTGAGAATAGTAATGGAAGCTCAGAAATGGCTCCAGACCCAGGCCCCGGCAGGGATATTAGACACAGACAGATGGGCCAGGGAGGCCCTCCCAGATGAGGAGCCCAGATGGGACCCGAACTCAGAAGACAGAAGGGCCAGGCTAGAGAGATACTGACTGGCCTTCTTCCAGGGGCTCAGGGCCAGAGTCAAGAAGCCCACCAATATGTCCAAGCCTGGGGCACAGCCTGTCAAAATCTGCCAATATCTGATTCCAAGGGATGCACGCCTAGGCATGTGCTCTTGGTCGGAATCGAACCCGGGACCCTTCAGTCCGCAGGCCGATGTTCTATCCACTGAACCAAATCAGCTAGGGCAAGGTCATGACTTTTAAACGCTTATACCCTCTGATTGAAAAACAGCCACACAGCCCTAACCGGTTTGGCTCAGTGGCTAGAGCGTCGGCCTGCAGACCGAAAGGTCCCAGGTTCGATTCCGGTCAAGGGCATGTACCTTGGTTGCGGGCACATCCCCAGTAGGAGGTGTGCAGGAGGCAGCTGATAGAGGTTTCTAGCTCTCTATCCCTCTCCCTTCCTCTCTGTAAAAAAAATCAATAAAGTATATTTTAAAAAAGAAAAACAGCCACACTGGGAGCTGGTAGCCACTGCATCCAATCGTTGACAATGTCAGGGGTTCTTGGGCATACCAGAGAAGGAAATCAAGAGAGTTCACCACACACACACACACAAAATATTGCCCTAGTTCCGTGGTCACAGTGTCAGCCCGAGGACCAAAGAGTCGAGGGTTCGATTCCAGTCAAGGACACGTACCTCAGCTGCAGGCTCTATCTCCAACCAATGAATATGTCTCTCTCACATCAATGTTTTTCTCTCTCTGTCTCTCCTCCTCCCTCCCACTCTCTCTAAAAGCAGTGGGGGTGAGGATCCACAACAACAAAAAGTGGTTCTCAGGGAGAGGTTTACTATAGCTGGTGTGCAGGAGGGAGTTAGTACCGAGGGAGAGGAAGGATCGGCTGCTCCCAAACAAAGGCTGGGAAACAGTTTAAAGGAAGTTGAGGGGTAGAAGATGAGGTCTGAGTATGTAGAGGGGAGGACTCTGACACTTGTGCAGTGGAACTACATGCTTTTTCTTGCAGGGCATGTCTCATTAGCATGTTAGATCTCCACCCAGGGGGGTGTGTTTTAGCATTTAAATGAGGGAGAGTCAGCGAAAGGACAGTCTTTCTCGAAAGTGCGCCTGTGTGAGCAAAGGGAAGGAAATTTAAGTTCAGGAATTAAGTCTTGCAGACAGCAGTGTGAGTCTTCAGTCTAACTGCTAATTGGCTGCAAGAAGAAGGGAAGTCACTGGGGAAATTATGGGCTCCTGGCTTTGTGCCAGCTGGGCCCAGACAGCGACCTGACTATCTCACAATGAGGTCAGGGTCGACATTAAATACAGCTCAGTGATCTCTACAAGTATTGTTTAAACAATTCGTGATTTTATTGTTAAAGAGGTTATGAGAATATGCAGAAAACGCATGTCAGGGAGAATCAGGGAGCTAAAGATATTTCAGTTTCACTTCTTGGTATTTAAAGTGAAATTATGTAAAATAAATGAAATTATGGATATACAAACATTTTATGAGGGGGCAACTGTAATATATCTGTCACTTTCTTGATTCCCCCATAAAATTTACCATCTAAGAGTGTATAATTGTGTGGTTCCTAGTATATTTACAAGGTTGTACAACCGTCACCATTATCTAATTCCAGAACATTTTCATCACCCCAAACAGAAACGCTGCACCCATTAACAGTCACTCCCCATTCCTCCCAAACTTACTGGGCCCTGGCAACCACTAACCTCCTTCCTGTCTCTATGGATTTGACTAATCTGGACGTTTCAAATAAATTGACTCATTAAATGTAGCCCTTTTTTGTGACTGGCTTTTTTTTTTCATTCACATGTTTTCTGAACTCAGGTTCATTCACTTTGTAGCACATATCTGTACTTCATTCCTTATTGTGACTGAACTAGAGGCCCGGTATACAACATTTCTGTACTGGCGGGGCGGGTTGGGGACGTGGGGTCCCTCAGTTTGGCTTGCACCCTCTCACAGTCTGGGTCCTCAGTGCTGCTGCGGAGGCGAGGCGGGAGAGGCTCCTGCCACCACCCCTGGGCTTACCAGCTGTGAGCCTGTCTTCTGGCTGAACAGTGCTCCCCCTGTGTGGGGGAGCGCACTGACCACCAGGGGACAGCTGCGTTGAGCGTCTGCTCCCTGGTGGTCAGTGTGCGTCATAGCGACCAGTCATTCCACCGTTTGGTCCATTTGCCCATTAGGGTTCTATTATGTAGGATAATATTGCATTGTAAGGACAGAACACATTTGTTTATCATTTGATGGACATTTGAGTT